AAATAAGTGTGTATTTTTAAACAAGCCAGGATGCTACATACTAGTTTGTATTTTGATTTTTGTAATAAGAAGAAAACATGACATAATTTTTATCAGTAAAGAAAGAAATAGTCTGGATGCCTGCATACCATATTGGAATGCCTGGATTTGAGTTCTGGCTCCCAATTCTAGCTTCCTGCTAATGTTCACTGTGGGAGGCAGCAGCAGGTAATGGTTCCAATTGGTGAGTTCCTACCATGCACATGGGAAACCTGGATCTGGATTGAATTCCTGATTCTCATCTCATTTTGCAGGCATTTGCGGAGTGAACCAGCAGTTTGGAGCTCTCTCTCTTTGACAGTCTCTCTCTGTGCCTCTTAAATTAAAAAAAAAAAAAAAAAAAAAAAAAAAAACAACAACAAACCTTGAACTTGGGGTCTATTTTCTGATATCAGCTAAATACCAGCCTAGATATGAGTTATTATACTACTCAAGCATTTTCTGAAGCAAGATGTGGTATTTTATAACATTATTATAAATTGTCAGAGAAATATTTATTATCTTAGTGATTTATGTTTTCACAAATTCCTATATTTTCCTTTCTAGAAGAATAAGCAGTGAAAAAGAATCTTTTGGGAGGTTCTATCTGCATAAGAAATCTTAAATAATAGGCCAAATAAAGTATGTGAAACTCATATGTATCAATATAAGTATTATATTTTAATTGGATGTTCTCATTTTTAATTTATTCTTGTGATTTCAAAGTTCATTTTGGTTGGCAAGTGTAACATTAGTGAAGTATCTATATGTATATATATATAGAAAGAAAAAGAACTCATTAATAGGTAAACATTTTTGAGCAAGAAAAAAGAGAAAAGTTTGATGAGAAAATATTCCTTGATTAAAAGATTAAAGGCTTTTTTTCTACTTCATGGCTTAAGGGTGAAATAGAAAAAAAAAAAAAAAACTCAGCATGAAAGACTCCTGGGATGGTGGGTGGTGGGAATTATGCATTATTAAACATTCACTGATTTAGTGGGCTGAAGGTTTACATTAAATGATCATAATGAGGTAGATTTTTTTTATCATAATAAAAGCACATTGAAATCAAAGGGTATAGAAGGAATGTTGTAATTCAAAAACCAGGAAGCCAGTGCCTTGGATACAGTATCTTGCTCTTGCCTTCAATAACAATGTCAGACTTTGGTCAGGTACAGGAGATGAATCTTCTGCTTTTCCTGCTCTCATTTCATATGTTTAATTTCCAATCTAAAATAAATAATACTGAGTTTTATGGCACATCTCTTCCATGAACTCTTGACAGTGTTCCTCTTAATTCACTTGAATTAATATAGCTGGTTTTCAGAAAATACTGGGAGGGACCAGCGCTGTAGCATAGAGGGTAAAGCCCCTGCCTGCAGTGCCAGCATCCCATATTGGTGTAGGTTCAAGTCCTGGCTGCTCCACTTCTGATCCAGCTCTCTGCTATGGCCTGGGAAAGCAGTAGAAGATGGCCCAAGTCCTTGGGTGCCTGCACACGTGTACGAGACCCAGAAGTGTCTCCTGGCTCCTGGCTTCGGGTCGGCACAGCTCTGGCCATTGCAGCCATCTGGGGAGTGAACCAGCAAATGGAAGGCCTGCCTCTCTCTCTCTCTCTCTCTCTCTCTGCCTGTCCTCTCTCTGTGTAACTCTTTCAAGTAAAATAAAATAAAATCTTAAAAAAAGAAAATACTGGAAAACAGAGACCATGTTCAAGTGAACCCTTTAGTGACTGATTGTCCTCAAGGTATATATTTACCTTCCTCCCTTCCCCTATCTCTTCCTATTAACTGCCATGTCTCAGTAACACTTTAACTGATCAATTTATTTATACTATCAATCAACTATAAAAGATGATGTCGACTAAATCAAGGGTTTCAAATTGATGACCTACAAGGCAAATTCAATCTGTAGATCTATTTGGTTTGGTTCACGTTGTATTAAAAATATCTGAAACTATCACATAACAATTTGAATTTCTGGATGGCTCTTGAAAAGTCAGATGATCTTCCAATACTGTACCTCAATTTCATGCGGATGGGATCTGCTGGAGCAACTTATTAGAGTTCCTCCTTTAGGTAAAGCCCATCTCTGTTGCTCACACCTAACCAGAGTTTTCTCATTAAATATCTACCTCTCTGGTCCCTGTAGCTGTATGATAATGTGACTTTGGCAGGAAACTGGTATGAGTGGGGGTAGTAGTGGTGGTATATATACTTATGAAGTAAGCATAGGATCAAGATGGCTTAACAAATATTCCCAACCTATGTGAGTTAAGATATTATTATTTGTGTTAATTCATTCTAGTAACATTAATTGGTGGCCTATCACACAGTAAAATAATTTTTGCAGGGATAAAAAATATAGGTTCCTAATTATAAATATCATGAAAAAAGAGCTTCCTGTATTTACAGAGTTGCATATGACCCCTGAAACCTCTTACTCTTATTTTTGTCTTCCTCCTCCTCAGATTTTTTTTCCTCCCCAAAGTATGACAAAATCATACTTTATTTTTTTTAAAGAAGATTTATTTTAGATTAAGTGATTTCATGATGCAACATGGTTTTAAACAAAAATAGAGATCAGTATGAAAATAAAACAAATTGTACACATTAAAATATCTTTCCCTCAAAGCATTTCAGAATCATAAAAAATACAACACAGGAGTCAGGGGTTCAGGTGAGGATAATACAGACTTCCCAGAAAACAAACAACTCATCCACCAGTCAGAGACCTAGCCTCTATAGCATACACATGAAACATTTCTAGGATGTCAACAATCTGCATTATTTGCTTTGGAAAAAAAAATGAATTTAAATCTAAGGTGAAATAAGAGCTGTATAATCTTAATGCTAAAAGCAAATATCTCCCATTATTATTATTATTATCTATTAAAAGTCACATTGAATAAATATGAAACTTAACTCAACTCAACCAAAATAGAAATGGTGCTATTAACTGTGCTACATGGTATAGCAGACATAATGAGTGGGGTTGCTGAAGAGAAATGGAAAGGCTTAAAAAAATACACCACCTGTGCTCTACTGAAGTCTTAGAAATAAATGTGTTTTTTTTTTACAGAGCCTTGATATTAAAAAGTAAGCATTATTATAAAATTAGAGTAATACTTTCAGTAAGAGGTGAGAGAGATGCATTATTTTTATTCATTTATTTTGGAATGCCTGCATCCCCATTATAAAAACATGTAATCTTATGCACTTTCCAACATATTAACAACCCCACATTTTAATTATATAAAGAGAAATAGGTTGTAATTACATCTTTTAGAGCATTATGACCCTAAAAGAACATTCAGTTCTGTGTGTTTCCTGGTTAATCTTTCCAAGGTATTTCTTAAACATTAGCCATCCTTTTGTACAGAAGGTGACAGTAACCAGAAGTATACTGATGGTTCCTTACCTGCATCAGTAATAGGTGATTCAAATTGAATCATACAACATGCCTATCAACACTCCTTAGGGTTGTAATATCTTAAAAGAAAGTTGAATAGGAAGAGATCACCTGCCCAAGGCCACTAGACTGAAAAGCACATATACATATACATTGGATTCCAAGAAACCATACAACTAGGACTATCCTATCCTGCTGAATTGTTCAATCAGGAAAGCCAATAAATGACCTCGCAGATAAAACCTAACTAAACATATTTTGGTTTCAATTAATTTCAGGTCTCCAATTGCAATTCAGTTAACTTCATTCTTAAGATTTTGCTTTCTAGATTAACAAGGAACATTTAAACCACCAATAGAAACCATGAAAATGTCTCAAAAGAAATTCGAATGTCAAAGTATATCTGCTAAAAACCAAATTAAGCATAATGAAACAAAAGCACTCTTTCTTTTATTTCACATTGGGTGTTCAATAATAGTAACAATATTAAAAATTCCCAACATATTTGAATCCTAAATTGTGAAATCTCTTGATTGAGATATGGGCATCTTTAACACTTTGGGCTAAATCCATTTTTCAATACAGAAAATGTGAACCTACTGAATTTATAAAATGAGCATATTCCTCACAAAGCAGATTATCAAGCAGTGCCATCACTAGGCAGCATGGCATTCTTTTCCTCAAAGTCAGATACCAAACTAAAGTATGATGATGATACCCCAGCAGCATGCCCAGAGATGATCCTCCCACCCCTCAACCCCTGCTCCACTCCTATCCTTCCCCATTCTTCCACTCCTGGCTCAGAGAGCTGTGATACAGGCAGTGCGCACACTCATTATATCCTTTGTGCCAGCTCCTTGTCATGCAATTAGTGCTCCTGAATCTTGCCAATTAACTAGTAATTAGCATATCATTCTTGGGAGTGTCACAACTGCAGGACTCCTTTCTCTTATACCCCTTTTCATGGGCAGCAGTTGGCCTTATGCTGCAACTCAGAAAGCTTCAGTGTCTCTGGCATTCCTTTGTTTCCCTGCTAGACAAACGGATTTATCCAGAGAATACAATTGAACCAGAAATGAAATGGGTTTTTACAAAATCAGACACTTAATTAGAAGTGATATTCTCATTAAAACTCAGGTCTCATGGAATTATGATAGCTAAGATCGAGAGTGTTGTTACTCATCAACTAAGTCAGAAAGCAGATAACACAGAGCAAGAGGGCCCAAACTCAGACTAGGTTTGGAGACTGGACTCAGCTCTTCTTACGCACATTTTTATAATGCAGAGTTATTGATGCCTTTTTAACGATGGGACAGCATCATCTTCTTGCCTCTGCAGTTTCCTGAATAAGATAAAATTGGAAGGACTCAACATTCTTCATTATAAGATGTTAGCCTATTAAAAATGGTCACATCAGAAATAAAATTTGGGCAGAAAGATAGAAAAAAATCATTTGGATGAATATGAGATCTACAAGGAAGAATAGGGAACCTGCATTGTGGTTCTGTCATCCATATCACGGGAATTCAGCTGTCCAGCCTTTCTGAATACATTCTTATTAAAATTAAAAAAATAAAATAAGGCTTCTTATTAGTGCTGTTTTCCTATTATTTTGTTTGCAAATTATATTTGGGAAAATGGAACTACCATACTATATATAAATCTACCAAAAGCAACCAAATTTTGCCTCCTGTTTTTAATTTCTCATGACAAACTATAAAGAGCAAACATTAAGTTTTTGGGGAGTTTTTTCCATGAATGTACTAATTTCTTCATAGGCTGTTCAGATGGTGTTACAATTTAAGTGCGTTTGTTTAGGAAAATGAGTTTGGATAGACAAGGCATTTTGCACTGAAAATGGAGTATACTGGTACAAACACCAGTCCTCACATTTCTCGAGACTAAACAGAATTGTCTACAAAGTCCTAAAACATCCTGCCAGCTATTCTTGAAAATTAGCCTCAACCCAGATGGGACTTGATACTTCTATCATACAAAGTGAGAATCAATAGTCAATGTACCTGAAAGCACTCTGAAACTCCAAGTACTATGCAAACAGATGATACAAGTGCTGTTATTTTTTTGGAATGCATTTTTATCATATCTAATTGTTATGCAAGAGAAACAGATTTTCCTTTGATTACAGAATTTCTACTAAATGATAAAAATTGTGACTACATTCCTCTGACCAAAATCAATTTATTTTGTGTACAAGAGAAATATTTTAACCCCAGAAGTTGTTTTGAGTCAGCAACTGGGATATTTCACATTGAAAACCAAAGGTACATTGTGATTTAGATGAAGGAAACAGAGGGAAATGATCAGATTTGTTTTTTGCCATTGCTTTGATCATTTGAAGATGCTTGTGTTGAGTAGCTCCTTCACTTTTCAGCTCCTATGTACACATTTTAAACCCTCTTGTGTGAATGCACCCTAAGTTTCACCATTTGACAAGTATTGGCACACTATCACATGCCATGAGTTATCAACAGAAATTACATTTATGTGATTTACTTTTTGCCACTCTATCTCCCACAGATGAAGCCATCGTTGAATCTCCTACATGGAATAAGCTGTGTTCTCCTCACTTTTTCAATGTAAAACTTACAAAGTTTTGCTTACACTGCTTTTTTGGAACTTTGGTGTCTTCTCTAGTCAATTGTGAGCTTCTCGAGGGCAGGCTGAGAATCTTGTAGTTCTGTTTTCAGACACAGTGACTGCACAGAGTAAATGCCAGTGGTGTGCCTGTTCTCTTATTCAGGAGATGTTCTGCATATGTGAATAATATTGTGACTGTCTATGGTGGAAGGATCAGCACTTGTGATTTTCTTAAAGCAAATAAGCCCAGTTATCTGGGTTCATAGTCCATAAAAATATTTATGGGTATTTTTAATTATAGAATATATTAAGGTCTAATTTTGTCTGTGGAAATGTTATTTAATATTTTATATGGTTATTGGTTGCCTTTTATTTTACTAATGAATAATAATAGATAAGTTATCATGGTGTTCTGATATGCTAAGCACATCTTTGATAATTCCCAATTTAGAGAATAATATCAACTAGAGGATTATACTAATTAAGAATGTCTGCATACATTAAAGAGAACAGTTATTTGGGAATAAGTTGGTTGCCTTAACAAAGAAATATATTTGTTAGAAATTATTGAGATACATTTTATTTCAAACCTCTTTTACCTAGCAATATGGCATATGGTAACAAAGTGTCTCAAATCCAAATGAAAGGTAACACAGTCTACCAATGTATTTTTGAAATAAATGCAATTATCTACATCGGTTGCTTAGAGAACACCAGCTCTGAAACATCAAACATGCCATCAGAAACATGATTTTTAAAAAAAGTATGTCAGTGTGTTATAGTATTTGTCTTCATAATGAAAAAATACAAACAAGTAAAAAGTTTTTAAAATTAAATTATACTTATATTCATGATCAATAAGTACAAACTAACATTTCCAGTTAAAATTTTTTTGTCTTCCCCCAATTATGGTATACCAATAAATCTTCCCCTTTTTATTTCCAGATATCTGTAACCTTTTTTTTCTTCTTCAGAACATTCCCCTACACTGAAATATCTGCCTCTAATGCAGGAATGCAACATGAGTGACATTCTTCTTGAAGGTCCCAATAATAAACATAATTTAGCCCACAGGAGAGCAATCAGTTCCTACAAAACACCTAAGCAAACTATGCATATGACCCCTATAAAATATAAGATTGCCAACATCCCATAATGGGAATTCCATGGCTACTTAGAAACATAATTCTTAAAGAAATGTGTAAGCAATGCCTGTAAACCCATAGGCTGGAAAACCGAATGTCAATCCAATGATCCTATTACCCTCAATTTAACTTCACTGTATTGTGCGTCTGATTAGTTATGGCCATATGTTAAGAAATAAACAATGAGGTGGGGTAATCCCAAAAGCAATTAAAACAGGATATACCCTGTCATAAAATTAAGCAGAAATAAGGTTACTGATGTCATGCAGTTTTAAAGATTCCATAGAAAAACTGTTTCCTGATATTGATAAGAAAACTATGCATCAGTGAAAATGCAGGCTTAGAAATATAGTGCTAAGAGTTTCAATTCGTGATGTCTTCACTGATGAGAGAAAATGGGATTCTTATTACTAAAGAGAACTGATCTCCTCAGTGTTGCTGATGGCTCCCTAACTGAGCTCAGTGTTTAATGATGCTGTACAAATAAAAAGCAGTGGGGAAAATACGAAATATCAGTATTAAATGCCATCCGGTAAAGTATCTGATGGATGGAAGAGAGTCTAATGCATTTTAAATAAATGCATATCATACTATCACATATAGTGAGTCTTAAAAAATTATTACTTAGATGCACAGTCCTTGTAGTGGTAGACATGGCACTGTGAAGAAAGTTTGATTTAGAAGCTATTTTCTATTATACTTGTCAAGTGATGGAGTTGCTGTTACTCACATTGTAATATCCCTCAACTTTGGTACATTCAGTGCAAAATATTTCGGGGAGTTTTTTAACCTTTATAAAAATAAAAGGCCCTTTTGTTCCCTTGAGAGTGCTTAAAAGAATACACACTAGTATGATGCCCGAGTAAGCGTGGAACATGGAAATGAAACAGGTTATACATACAGTATAATAGGTAGGTTCTTATATACATCTTAAAGAACATAAATATAATGAACCTATTAAAAAATGAACTCACCGTGTACTTTTTCCTGATATGCTGTGATTAATTGCTAGTTATATTTAATTTTTTCATGCATTATAAAGCATAAAATCTGTCATTAGTAATTCATTGAATAAGTTTGTCTTCACTCATAATTACACATATACCACTTGCATATACATTGTCACAGACCACCTTATTGCAAATCTTTTAAGTTACCTCATAATGATGGTTTCATTTTCACTCGTGTCCCATGAAAGCTGAAACCTATGGTGCACACCATGCAGGCACTCATAAGCAAGAAAAGAATATTCTGTTTATAACTTAGGGCTTAACTGAATGTACTTTCATGAAATATAGCTGTTTTTATTATATTATATAACTTGCACTAATTTGGAGAGTGGGCCAAGTGCTGCCAGTTTGGCTTGAAGCATGTTCAAGGGTAAGTTTCAAGATTCTCCTGAGTCCCTAAAAATTACCATGGAACTAGCTGATCATGTACAGGTTCATCTGTGTCTTGGAACATAACAAATGGAAAAAGTTTGGCAGTCAAGAACTGTTGATTGAAAGACTGTTGGGCTGTTCCCTGGGCATCAAGCTCACCCAAATCCTAGCAAGAAGACTCATCACCAGTCCTCAAATGTGATAGGGCGCATGTTCCTGCAATATAACAGCACTCAGCTTCACTCCAATTGAAGCGCACTCTTGAAACCAATGTTCAGTAATTCTTCTAGAGGGCAGTTCCCAAAATTGCTGAAATTACATAAAGAGCTGGGCATTGTGCTTCCAGGTCACTCAAGTCCAAAGGTACTGGTCTCTTCAACTGCTGTCAAGAGTTTTTCATAAAGCATGGAAAAGGATGGATATGGGGGCAGATCCAGACGGTTAAAACAAGTATGAGCCCTGCAAACAGAAGAAGCAAAACACAGTTTAGAACAATTCAAGTGAAGAGAGAATTGTGTGTGGATGTCTATCTTCCTGTTCAAATTCATTTGTTGTCAATTTTCACATTTGTTTTGGAAAAACTTTAAAAACATTTGGCTTTTAGAATTCAGAATTTGATTTCTATAAGAGAAATAGAATATTTAAAAATATTTTGGGGGCAGGCGTTTGGTGTGTCAGTTAAATTGCTGCTTAGGCTACTCACATCCAAATCCCAGCTACATTTCTGATTCCAGTTTCATGCTCATTCACACCATGGGAGGAAGTAGGTAATGATTCGTGTGTTTGGGTCCTTGCTACCCATATAGGAAACCCAGATTGAATTCCAGGTTCCTGGCTTTGGCCTGGCCAGTCCTGGCTGCTGCAGGCATTTGGGAAGTAAATCAGCAGGTAGAAGAACTCTTTGTCTAATCTGTTTGTCTCTGCCTTTCAGATTAAAAATAGTATACATTTTTTCTTTATATTTTCACAACCACCAAAAAGCTGTATCACATAAGACTTGTATAGTTACCATTTGTTGAGTTGTCCAAGAGTCACAAAGCTAAGGTTGGTGTTGTGTTTCTCTTTGGTGATAGATTTTTTTTTAAAGACTTGTTTGTAAATAAATAAATGTGTGTGTGTGTGTGTGTGTGTGTATAAAACTCACTTTCAGAGATGGCATTGATGAAAATGTCATCTCTCAGACAATCTGCATTTTATACTGTAGAGCAATAAGTGTCCCTGAGGAACCACCTTATGGCCTGGAGCTTGGGAAACTTCATGGCTGGCCTTTTCTGCCTGGCAGTAGACCATTGTTATCTCTTTGAATCCTGTGTATAATCTGTTTTCTCCCCAATTCCCAAAGCAAAAAATGACCATTTAAATCATTCTATTAAGTATTATTATTTAGAAATACCCCCACCTTTTGCCAAGATAGGAAAAAAATATGTTTTCCTGTTATTTGCACCTGAATCACAATAAGAAATGACAGTCTCCAAATAGCACATCTTATCAGAAAGCCAATCTGCACTTTTGACATGGAATAGGAAACGTTCTATTCTGAATGTACAACAGCTTGTTTGTGGGAGCTACATGATTTCGACTCCTGAAATAATATGAAATTTCAAAAACCATGATTACTTAGACTATTTCAACAAAGTCACATTCTTAAATTTTTATTCTTCTAAATCATTTTTACTTATGAAGTAAACATGATTAATATCCAAATATATAGTGCAGAATAGTGGGATGATCAGAGGTTTGGAGTTGGACAGACTTTGGTTTGAATTCTAGCTCTACCAGTCAGCTGTATGATTTACAGTGAATTATAAAAACTTTGAGCTTCAGTTTTCTTACCTGCAAAAGTACACTAATTTCATTTGTGTCAGAAGGATGCAAGGGTTAAATGAAATAACAGAAAAATGCTTAATAGGGTATCTATAGTGTTTAATCAATTAACAATAAATGTATTGTTAAATTTTATTCCCATCAGAATTATTTACTCTCACTGCCTTCAGTACATTGCCAAAAGTTCATAGTGACTCATGCAAGCTATAAGATAATACAGCAGGTGTGTGGCCATATGGAATAGAAATAAGAATGTGAAGGGACTCTGTTATAAGAATACCAGTGTTAGGACATAGAGGTAGAATCTGAATTTATCATTTCTATTACTACAAATTCTGGGATACACTGGTGTAAATGATTTAATTACTCTTTGATAGAAGAATTGCATTTACTATTGTCATTTTACCTCATTATATTGGAACCCAACCCCTAGACCTAAAGGAAAAGTGTTTACATCTTTTAAAATTCAACTAGTAATTTAGTAAAGACTTGGCATGGTCTGAAATCCATCTTTTATGAAACATGGGATAAAAATATTACATGAAGTTTTTATCTCTATAAGGGGAAGTAAGGAAGAAGCATGGAAGTGAAACATATTTTGAATAGAATTCTGTGTTATACACATGCTTTGTGCTCTAAATATGTAACATTCATTATCCCATTAAACTAACAGATGGTACCTCATTATGAATTTTCATTTATTTGTCACCAAAGTAAAGCATCTTTTCTCAAGATCACTTGTTTCATTTCCTGCTATATGATCTATATGCTCATCTCTTAGCCTGTTTATTTTTTTGTTTCAAATTTTTTTGTTGTGGGCTGGCACTGTGGCGCAGTGGGTTAAAGCCTTGGCCTGAAGTGCCAACACCCCATATGGGTGCCAGTTCTAGTCCCGGCTGCTCCTCTTCCGATCCAGCTCTCTGCTGTGGCCTGGGATAGCAGTAGAAGATGGCCCAAGTCCTTAGTCCTTAGATATTAGCAATTCTGCTAATATCTTAAGGAATCACCATACTTTTTTTTCAGTCTCTCCACTGCATCTGCGTGGGAGACCTGGAGGAAACTCCTGGCTCCTGGCTCCCGGCTTCAGATCGGCACAGCTCCAGCCGTTAAGGCATCTGGGGAGTGAACTAGCAGATGGAAGACCCCTCTCTCTCTGTCTCTACCTCTCTCTGTAACTTTATCTTTCAAATAAAAATAAAATCTAAAAATATTTACTGTTGTAAAATATATATAACATAAAACAGCATTGTAACCATTTATATGTGCACTCTTCTGAGGCATTAAGCACATTCATATTCTTCAACAACCATCACCATGGTCCATCTCTAGAACTTTATCATCTTAAAAAACTAACACTCCATACCCAACACTGGTAACTCCCACATGTCACCCTTCCCAATCCCTGGAAACTACCACTCTCCTTTTTGTCTCTACAATTTCAACTGCCCTGTGTACCAAATATAAGTGGATTCTTAAAATACTTTCTATTGTGACTAGCTTATTTCACTTAGCATATGTGTTCAAGGTTCCTGTTGTTGCACGGGTCAGAATTTTCTTTCTTTCTAAGGCTGAATAAATATTCCATGTATATTTACCATATTTTTTTTATCCATTCATCCACTGATAGACATAGACTGTTTCTACCTTGTGGCTATTGTGAATTGTGCCGCTGTGAACATGGGTGTACAAATATCTGTTCAGGTCCCTGTTTTCAATTTGGTGGGGGGTGGGGCGGTGGCTGGGTTAATATCCAGAAGTAGAATTGACAGGTTATATGGGAATTCTGCTAATATCTTAAGGAATCACCATACTTTTTTTTCAGACTGGTTTACCATTTTATATTCTCACCAACAGTGCAGAAGGGTTTCAATTTCTCTATATCCTCATTAACTTTTTTTTGTTTTTCCATTTTTCAGAATAGTAGCCATCCTAATGAATATGAAGCCCATTTATCTTTTAAAGTCTAAGGATTTCCTATTGATTTATATAAATGCTATAAATAAAGAGACCCTCACTATTGAATTTGAAAAAGCAAGCTGTCATAAATTCTACAATTGCAAGGAATGAATTCTGTCTCTAACCTAAGGAAGCCTGGATGCAGATCCTTCCCTAGCTGAGCCTCCAGTGAGAATGCAGTCCAGCATTCACCCTGGTTTCAACCTGTGACACCAAGTAGAAGGCCCAGCTGAGCTGGCCCTGGGCTCCTGTCCCATGAAACACTGAGATGATAAACATGTGTTTTTGTAAGCTGCTAAATCTGTGGTAATTTGTTTTGCAGTGATAGAAACACTAGTAACAGGTCTTAACATAGTTGAACAGTCCAAGAAGAGGTGGTAAATGTGATGATACTTGTGACATAACAGTCATCTGTCCAGGACAAATGGTAAAGCAAAGCGGGGAGGAAGCAGCTGTCCTTTCATTCTGCCAGGTTTCTGAGTGATTAACAGGAACTCTGTGTAACTCCTTGCAGTTTCTGGAGTATCCTTACAGATGCTAGAGTACTTTATCCAGGAAATCTACAAGCCTGGGTACTGGTTTCTGCTCTCAGCACAACAGGAAGGACTGTCCAGGTTTTTTTTCTCCTCTTCAGTCATAAGACATCATCTCTGTCACTGATTCACAAGCTAAGGCTATCACTGCTTCTTAAATGACCTCTGGTTGTATAAAATATGGTTAGCACAATATAATTCTCCTTCTGAATCAACCAAACAGCTCTTCTGGAAAAATGTTTCATGAGAATGCAGCAGGCATATATTGTGGAAGGGGAAACTCTATGGAAAGAATAAAGGTCAAGCTGAATCAGAGGCTAAACCAAGAATATAATCTCAACTATGGGTCTCCTAGGGGAAGTCCAACATTAAACTGAAAGCAGGCAGAGTGATGCTCACTTCTCCATCCTTTTACTTCTGCAGGCTGGAGTATTCATTTCATTCCACTCCTGAATCTGAACTGCTAGTTCTTAGCATCCTATGAGATTACATAAACTTTGAGGACAGAGATTTGCAAAATAAAGTTTCAGATATATTTTAGATGAACGACTCAATCACAATATGTAGTTTCTCTGGGAAAAATGACTGAATGACTGAGTCTGGGTCAGCCCAGAAAACCCTGGGAGATACCAGGGGATTTTTAAGTAATCAAACCATCTAGTTCAATCTTAGGCTTGCCAGAATGCAGATACTCAGATGGGTATTTCAGAATGCCACAGATTCACTGGAGGAGCTTGTTTACAATGGAGATGTTTGGTGGTACTCTAATTCAGAAGGTCTGGAGGTGGGCCTGGGGATCTGCACCTGAACAATCCAAGTGACTCTGACACAGGCAGTCTCCACCATTGGAAAGACATCAAGTGGATTAGAAATAAAATATCTACATTGGATATTCACACCAGCATTCTGTGTGCCTGCAAAAGTTTCAAAACTGCTTATAAATAAGACAGCATTGCTAATAAGGAAATTGAGGAATAGTGCGGTTAAATAAATTGCCCAATGTTTACCATCAACTGACTGTATAAGCCAAGAACAGGAAGAAAAAAAAAGGGCAAAACAAAACACAATTCTCTGAGGCTTTTCACACTCCCACCCCCGCCCCATTCCATGTCCTAAGAAAACTCTAGCAGCAAATAATGGGAGGGCCCTTGGACTGTGTTGGTATTGGCAGCAAAAGTGCATCCAGCTATTCAGTCTCAATAAAAGAACATTCTTCAAATCTCTAGAAGCGAGTCACACTAAAGCTATGATGAGTTTGCCTTACTTTAATTTATGCAGCCAGAACCACTCAAGGAGAGCGGGTCTGAACCCATCTTTGGGAAATCATGCTGGCATTACTATCAAGAAGACTTGAAACCATCCAGACATCTGGTCTGACTTCATAGATTCTTGATGCTTTCTGGATTCTTCAAGATCTCATGCTTACCCTCTCTTTTTCTTACAGATTGACAAGTAAATTATCCAAACCAGTGAAACAAGTATCTCAGTTACATTTTCATGACTTGGTTAATTGATTAATATCTCTCTCTCTCTCTCTGTGTGTATGTGTGTGTGTGTGTGTGACAGAGACAGAGAATGTACTTTCTCATTCACTTATTTCCCCTTTTCCTGGAAATAATTCTTGGTACCTTATAAACACTGAAAATATAAGATAAACGAGATTACAATCAAAGTTTTAAAATGATGAGAAAGGATTAGTACATCGTAACTTCATTTTATCTAGTAGATGCAGCCCTAGAATATCTTTGCCTCACATAAATCCTTTTTATTTGCATTGTAATTGAGAAAATATCAACACTCTCATTTTCAACTGGCAATGGTGTATAACTCTTCTGATTTTAGTTTTCTTACTCCTATTTCCACCTCTTCATCAGGTAATTTGTAAACCAAAAACAAATACTCAGTGACTGCACATGCGGCATTGAGCTGTCCCCTGATACATGAGGATGAAAAGCCTGATTTCTGTCCTCAGGAGTTTACCTTTTGGCAGCAACATACACAGGTAAATATGCCAGCATGGCTCTGCACTGGGGGATCTTCCTGAGGTGAGTGGGCACTGAATCCAGCCTTCCATTGGCTCTGCTCACCAAACCACACACACGAGCTCACAGCTGTGTTTCTCCAGAGACTATGAGACTTCATTTAACACAAAAGGGTCTATGGGCTACTAGTGGACTGCACACGGTTATGTGACACTGAATTACAAGTCGACAGTGTGGTCAGAGGAGGCTTTATAGAGGATTCTATCTGTACTGAGCCTTGAAGGATTTGTATGTGAGCAGGGTTTCTCTGGATCAACAACAAGGAGAAGGATGTTCCCAGCAGATGGCCGGAAGTGTGAGAAAGCATTGCATCATCAGGAAACCTGGGAAGTGCAAGTGCTCAGGTGACAGGAGCCAAAACTGGACCTGAGGCCAGATGGGGAGGCAGGGCCATGTGAGGAAGTGATCATGGAAAGACCTTTTCCATTTATTTCATGGATGAAAGGGGGCTAAATAACTGGATGTACAGAGTAGGATGGCAGAGGTGCCATTATACAAGGCAGAGCATATAGGGAACCCACAGGTGATAAATTCAGAGCCTGTAATCAGCATGAAAAAAAACCAGTGTTACCAATCACACAGAGTGACAAATCCAATTAAAGTAATAACTAACAGAATTAAAGGTATAACTTCTGTGAGGATTTTAAAAATGTTTATAATTTTTCTAATATCTTCATTAATATCTCCTTAGTCCATGGTTGACAGCAGAATTCCTGCTAAGAGTAGGTCACAAATATTTGTGTAACCAATGGTGGCACAACACAATCTTGATCTTTACCAGGTGTTCAATAAACTTAAACTAATGGAAAGGAATTCTATGGTACATACTATTCCAGCTACTCATTTGTCATATACCATTTGGTGGCCAATGACATTGTTGATCTGCTCATGAAAAGTTCTATTCCTTCCTTCCTTGTGTTTTAAGGCCCACATGGACAGAGATCAGTTTATAACTCCCACAGGCACAGGTTTTTCATATATTAAATGCATGATGAGTACCTATAGTATCTATTCCTCTATAAAGGAATTAGACCTGTGAACTAACTAATGTCTTATTTCTTATTTCAATGTCCCACACTAAGCCACCTTGGTGAAAATGTACCGAAATCTATAAATACAGTACAGAATGCTCCTATAGTGGGAATTCCTATACCTGGGGTATATAACAGAAGAAATTCTTAGAAATATGCATTCTTCAGTGGGTAATTTCTTTACCTGTCACTGGGTTTATGGAAAGATGAAGAGTAAATACTTTTAAAATGTCAGAATCTAAATTTAACAGAAAAAGTCTAGTGTGAACAGGTTCAGGAATGGGAACTCTTGGAAGTCTAAACAAAATATAAATATCCAGAGTGGATGTAGCACATTTCTCATGTATATAATGGTTGTAAAATATCATGCCAGCCCTGAAGGTTAGATATTAAGAGCAATAGTAATAATAGCTACATTCATTGAATGATGTGTTAGGCCTCATTTTAAGGATATTGCATGTGTTATTTAATTTACAAAAGTAGTTTATAAGGTAAATAAAAGGGGTCTTCAAAAACTTCATGAAAAATAGAATAACAAGATAAATTTATTTTGAGGCAATGGTTTAGTACAGCAGTTAAGGTTGCTGCTTTGCATCCCATATGGGAGTGCTTGGCTTTGACTCAAGTCTAGGCACTGCTCCCAATTCCAGCTTCCTGCTATGGTGCACCCTGGGAAGCAGAGTTTTGGCTCCTGCTTGGCCCAGCCATGGGGCTGCTGTGGGCAACTGGGGAGTAAACCAGCAGTGAATCTGGGAGAATTCTGTCTTTCTGTCTCTCTCTCTCTTTGCCTTTCAAGTAAACATAAATAACAATTGAAAAATTATTTTGATGCAAAAAATTTTGAAATCCACAAATAGTTTTGTCATAATATGTATTTTTCATGAAGTTTTTGAAGACCTCTTGTCCTGTGTTTCAGATGAGAATACAGAGACATAAAAGTAATTTGAAAGGTGGGGCCAGAGATGTGGCATAGTGGGTTAAGCTAGTTCTTATAAGGCCAGGATCACATATCAGCGCTGGTTTGAGTTCCAGCAACTCCACTTTCAGTCTAGCTTCCTGCTTATGTGCCAGGGAAGGCAGCAGAAGATGCCCCAAATGCTTGGCCCCTTCCATGGGAGATAAATATAGAGGTTCTTGGATCCTGGCTTTGGCCTAGCCCATATCCAGACCTGGTGGTTGTGGCCATTTAGGGAGTACGAAAGTCATTCTCTCTCTCAATCTCTCTCTCTCTCTCTCTCTCTCTCTCTCTGTTTCTCTCTCCATCTCCCTGCTCTCCCTGCAGCTCTGCCTTTCAAATAATTAAGTAAACCTTTTTTAAATAGCGATTTTTGAATATTTTGTCTGAAGGTGGTCTAAAGTCATCCCTCAAGTTTATAAATCCATTAAAAGCAATATTAGTTGGATGCTATACTGATTGGTGCCAGCACAGGGCTCTGTGTTCGGGGCAAAACTGCATTGAATTCAAAAAAGGTCCTTATTCTCATTGGAGTGATATTCTAAAGGGAAAGACAGAAAATCGGTAAGAAAACTGATAATTAAACATGAAGCTTGAGTTGGGGTAAGTCCTTCCAAGAAAAAAGGGAGACAGAATGACAGGTGTACTGGGGCAGAAGGCTTGTAGGCCTTTCTTAGAAGATCTTGGCTAAGCTGAGTTCTTGCAGATGAGAAAGTCAGTCATATGAAGAACCAGAAGAAAGAAGATTCAGCAGCAGATCCCAGAGTCTTGAGGCAGAACTGAGTTTACCATGTTCATGGAACAGCTAGAAGGAGGCTGGTGTATTTCACAGGTCGGGGTGGGGGGTGGGGTGGTAGCGGAGGTTTTTTTTTTGGACAGGCAGAGTGGACAGTGAGAGAGAGAGAGAGACAGAGAGAAAGGTCTTCCTTTGCCGTTGGTTCACCCCACAATGGCCGCCGCAGCCGGCGCCGGGCCACAGCAGAGAGCTGGCCTGGAAGAGGGGCAACCAGGACAGAATCTGGCGCCCCAACCAGGACTAGAACCCGGTGTGCCAGCACCGCAGGCGGAGGATTAGCCCAGTGAGTCGCGGCACTGGCCGGTAGTGGAGGTTTTAAATGTTGAGATTGGACTGGGAGGCCAGACGAGGTCTCCTACCTGGAAATCCATTGGAATAAGCCATTGGAGGGTGTAATCAGGGGAGAAAGGTGACCTGAGTACTTGATCATAGTGGTTGCTAAGTGCAGAATGAATGAATAACAGGGTCCCCAGGGTAGAAGCAGGAAGGCTGCCAGCAGGTTATGCAGAAGCCAGGTGAGGGTGATGATGTCCTGGACTAGTCTCAGGGAAACAGATTGACCTAAACTGTTTTTTGCTCTTGAGGCTAAGAAAAGGGGAGAAGCATTCTTTAACAGTTGTGATGTCTATCACTAAGAATAATTATTTAAAATATGACTGTGAATGGGTTTAACTTGGACTATTACTATCCTCTCTTGCCAGCAACAATTAAATCTCTTTTCACCCATTAAATAATCGCAAATTGCTTAGTTTTTACCTTTAGTGTTTATTTTAATTACTAAAGTGTTCCCTTTTAGACATAGTGTGTGTTTAAGATAAACTTACCTACCTTTGAAAGTAAAGAGCAATCCAAAAGGTATACCACATATAAGAATTTTTAACATAGTAGTTTGCAGTATCTCTGGCACATTTTTGTTAGTTCATGTTGATTCCATGGTAGAATAAAGTTAAAATTTAAAATATTACTCTTGATCTGAGAGGGAAGGCAGAGGGGAATGGAGCTGAAGAGGGTCCTGTATCTGAGACTGAGCTGTGGAGCACTCTAGGCTATGGGAGTCTACTGCCAGTTCCCTCCCAAACCAAAAAACACCTCAGCTGCTCAGCAGGAATAGGGAATTGGGGGAGCGAAGGAGGAACACCTCAAAGTAAATACACAAAAAGGTGGCATCAAGGGGACCATCCAGTGCTCACCTCTTTTCCTATTTTTTAAATTGAGGAAAGAGACATTATATTTCAGGACTTTTCAGATATGATTCTAGTTACTAGCTGAGAGTTCACCCTGACAGTAAGTAGACAATGCTCTCCATACCAGAGGAGAAAAATTTGAATTACTGATGATACTGTAGAGCAATATTTAATAACATAGGAAGATGCTCACGATTAGTGACATAGTATAAACAAGAAGCAGATTGCAAACAAGATGTGCAGTATAATTATATTTTTGCTTTTAAATGTATATGTGTGTGCACATAATATTTTGTAAAAACAGTTGGAAACATACTCCAAAATGTTAACAGAGCTTATCTCAGTAATGGACTTTTGACTAATATGTATGAATATACTTCAAATATATACTTAATATATTTTAATATGCACACATATTTCTTGGCATTTTTTGTAAATGGTTTTTTAATAATAAGAAGCAAAACCAGAGTTTTAAAGTGAAAAAAAATGCTGTCATATCTTCTTTTAAAAAACTATTTTATTTTCTAAAGTTCTAGTCCATTGGAAAAAATGTCTCCCTGAGACACCTATATCATAATTAACTCTTACATTTTATTTCTTAAGTTGGGTCAGCATTTCATTCATAATAATCTCCAGACACAGCCATTTTCAAAAAAGTAATGCTTCCTGCTTTGGCAAAAACTCGTGTTCCCCCATCTCCCCTACAGCTTGCCAACTGCTCTGCCCTATCACCCTGTATGGCAGGAACCTCAGAGATGAACACAGGAGTTTTACACAACATGATCGGAGAAGTGCACTACCCTATATCATCCAGACTGGCATGGGACAACCCACTTTTTGGACTATATGAGAGCAATTGACTTATAGTGAATTGAGTCTCATGAACTCCGGCAGAGCACTGGGGATAGGAAGTCTACAGAAATGCAAAATGCAGAGCTAACCTAACCAGCAACCACAAAGCAGAGGAAGTGCAGTCATGTGTTCAGGCTGAACGTCTCCATGGAGACTGCCAATGGTTTGCATCATTATTTATCATCTGGGTCTCAAGTTACTTTATTACCACAAGAGAGGAAAAAAAGAGCCATGCACTCAACTTGTGCCAGCTTCAGAGACAACCATATATACTTTAACCCATTTCTTGTCCCACACTGTGAACACTGCTATTCACTACTACTGCAAAATTAGAGTAGGAAACTGAGAAAAGAATGAGACACATTTTCCTGCTGGAAGGCTGACAGGCCCTGGGTCACCCTACAGACTAAGATGCTCTCCCTCATCCTGTCCAGCCCCTTCTAACTCTCCAGGACACAACCATCCATGCCCATTTCAAGATGATGCCAGGCTTCTTGGAGGATTCATTTTTTTGTTTTTTAAAGAAGGACATCCTTCCATTTTCCCTCCAATGTTTATGTATAACATCACACTGTAAATGCTAAACATAGTCTCACTAATAGGAAAAAGAAATACATTGGTGCTTACCAGCTTGGGACAGACCAGCTCTTCATGCAACCTATTTCATAAAAGGAGAGTAAAATGGCTCGAGTGAATGTGTTTCAATGGTGGGAAACATGGATGTGGTCATGTAAAACAATCTCTTTAAACCAGAATTAATCATAACCCACCCTTTTTGCACTTAAGGAATAACACATGGTTCTTAAAGGGTGATGATAATGTTTTCAGTAAAGAAATTGTATCTGATAGAACTATACTGTCATGTGTTAAAGTTTGTGCGTGTATACCATATTTTAATGGAGTAGAATAGTAGCTTATAGACATTTTGTATAAAAGTTTTAAAAACAACAACAAAACCAAACTAGCGGCTGGTGTTGTGGCACAGTGGGTTACACCCCACCAGGAACACCAGCATCCAATATGAGTACCAGTCACAGCAGAAGATAGCAGAAGTACTTGGGCCTCTGCCACCAACCATTGTGTCCATTTGGGGAGTGAACCAGTGGGTGGAAAATTTCTCTTTTTGTCTCTCCCTCTCTTTCTGTAACTCTGCCTTTCAAATAAATAAATAAGTCTTAAAAAAAAAAAAAGACATACTACCCTGAGGTCTTTCATATGCATTGTCTTACTCAGTTGTCACAATATTCTTTGATCATGGCATGGTTATTCCTACTTCACAGAGATGGATCTAGGCTCCTGCTTAGGATCATATGGCTCATGTGTCAGAAGGCTCAGATCTGTGCTTAGGTCTTTTAGTTTATATAAGCTGAATACAACGCTGATGTAGAATATTAGTCAAGTGATTTTTTTCCCTTTTATTCATCTCCTAGAGCTAGAGCTTGTTGGAGAGAGTGTCCTGCTATCATCTTTATCTGGGATATTATATAATTTAGGTAAAACTAGGAATGTAGTAGCAGTCTTAGATCATGATGAAGAGAGGAAGAAATCATTCCTGTTACCCAACTGTGTGACTGCAGTGACAATGAAGAACACCCCATTTACAATGACTCAGCATGTGAACTTCCTAGAGCTACCAAGAGAAGTAGAAATGTGAACACAGCCTGCGCTCCAAAATTCTGTATCAGCCTTTCAATGTTACTTTCTACAATCCAATCGAATTTACCAGCCCTTTCCAGTCTTCTACAGATGAGAAAACTGAGGCCTACAGATCAAGTGATCTTCAAAGTCCCAGGGTTAGCTGGTGGCAGAGGTGGGACGGACTAGAACCCAGGTGTTCTAATTGCCAACCCCATGCTCTTGCCTAATACGTGTTACAGGTGATGGTGACAGAATCACAATGACAGCTGCCATTGACCGGATGCTTACTCAGGTAGTAGTGAGTGTCTTACATGAATGATTTTAACCTTCAAAATCACAAACCTACAAGGTAGATGAAGAAAGAGATGCTCATAATTAAGCACATTCACCAAGAGCCCACTGAAGGTAAGTAACAGAGCTGCGATGAAGGTCAGATCTCTGTGACGCTAAAGCTACATGTGTGTATTAAATCACCTTTTACTTCCCACCAGGTTTGGGGAAAACTGCAGTGATTAAATATGAATAGCTGATATTTCTGCTTATTGTTACAGTTTATGCCACATATCTTAGTGATTTTAACAGAAATAAATTTCAACAAAAAGTTGACACATTTATCTGCCCTGTCTTGCTTCTTTGATGCTAATTCCTAGGTTTTTCAGGAGAGTGAAAAACCTTACTGTTTCTAAATCTATTTTGGGAAGACAAATATGTGCTGAATTAAGGAAAAAACCCATTATCCAAGCATAAATAAAATATGCTAGTTTTTAAATAAAGAAATTACAGCCTCCCACATTTGGAGCATCAGGTATGCCAGGTAATGCTTAGGTATTCGGATGTAGCACCTGTTTATGGATTGTGATGCAAGCAAGGTAGATGAGGAGCGTCACAAGCCTCTGAGTTTGCACTATTCATTTCCGTTTGTATTTTCAGTGTTCCCCAGATTTTTTTCACCTGTTGATGCTAAGAACACAGTTCTTAAGAATTTGTGTTAGGGCCGGCGCCGCGGCTCACTAGGCTAATCCTCCACCTAGCGGCGCCGGCACATGGGGTTCTAGTCCTGGTCGGGGCGCCAGATTCTATCCCAGTTGCCCCTCTTCCAGGCCAGCCCTCTGCTGTGGCCAGGGAGTGCAGTGGAGGATGGCCCAGGTGCTTGGGCCCTGCACCCCATGGGAGACCAGGAAAAGCACCTGGCTCCTGGCTCCTGCCATCGGATCAGCGCGGTGCGCCGGCCGCAGCGCGCCGGCCACAGCAGCCATTGGAGGGTGAACCAACGGCAAAGGAAGACCTTTCTCTCTCTCTCTCTCTCTCACTGTCCACTCTGCCTGTCAAAAAAAAAAAAAAAAAAAAAAAAAAAAAAAAAAAAAAAAGAATTTGTGTTAGGGGCCAGCGCTGTGGCACAGCAGGTAAAGCCTCTGCCTGCAGTGCCAGCATCCCATTTGAGCGCTGGTTCGAGTCCTGGCTGCTCCACTTCCTATCCAGCTCTCTGCTATGGCCTGGGAAAGCAGTGGAAGATGGCCCAAGTCCTTGGGCCCCTGCACCTGTATGGGAGACCTGGAAGAAGCTCCTGGTTCCTGGCTTCAGATTGGCATAGCTCTGGCCATTGCGGCCAACTGGGGAGTGAACCAGCAGATGGAATAATCTCCCTCTCTCTCTCTGCCTCTCCTTCTTGCTCTCTGTGTAACTCTGACTTTCAAATAAATAAATAAATCTTTTAAAAAAGAAAAGATATAGTTTAGGGGCTGGTATTGTGGGGTAGTAGGCTAAGTCTCCACCTGCAGAACTGGTCCCATATGGGTGCCAGTTTGAGTTCTGGCTGCTCCTCTTCCAATTCAGCTCTCTGCTTGTGGTCTGGGAAGATTGCCCAATGCTTGGGTCCCTGCATCTGTGTGGGAGACTTGGAAGAAGCTCCTGGCTCCTGGCTTCAGATCAGCCTAGCTCCAGCTGTTGCGGCCATTTGGGGGGTGAACCAGCTGATGGAAGACCTTTCTCTTTGTCTCTCCCTCAATCTGTCTGTAGCTCTACCTCTCAAATAAATAAATAAAATCTTAAAAAAGAGTTATAGTCTTAAGCAGTATAGAATACATTCATGATTTAGTATTTTTTACAAACCATAATGGTAGCTTTTAATGAAGGGATTCTAAGTAGTTATTAACATAAACTTAAAACTTGAACATCTGGAAACATCTAGATTTGAGCCACAATCATAAGCCACAAGTAGGATGACCAATGTTGCTTTACTTATGTGAGCAAATGCATTAATTTTGCGTGTGTTTTATAGTTGAAGGTAGGGGTGGATTTGCCCTTTTTATGGGAGACCTGGGAGATTGCCCTTCAACCCTTCCTGTAGAAAAGTAATCAGAGAAAAACTCACTCTACAAACTTCTTCCACTCTCCCAACCTTTTAACATAAAGTAGTAATTAGTCAATATGTAATAAATTACGGTCACTCGTAGAAATGTAATTTTCTGTTTTACCTGGGAAGAGCAGTAATTTTCCCCCATTTCTCCACACAGAATCTTCTAGGGCCATTGCTCCCTCGGAGAGAAGCAAATCCTTCATAGGGAATGCTGGATGTACCGGTAACAAACTATCAAGCCAAGAAAACAGAAAGGAGCTGGTGAAACCAGAGACCGGCAGGCAGGGAACCATGGCATCACATGGGTGCAGAGCGCCTCAGGAAGAGCAGGTGGGAAAGTTCGGAAGACAGAATTTTTTGGGTGTGGGATAACCATACACAGGAATTCTGACAATCAGCCAGAATGAAATACTAAAAAAGAACAATGCATTATAAAGGGAAAGTTATGGAAGCTTTCTAGAAAATAAGGGGTCCTATGAGCTCAGAAGCTAACCCAGGCATAGTTCCTACTATAGATGAATAAAGTGGTTATCAATTAACTAAGTCTATTAGCATCAGCCCCTGACCAACTCAGGGTTAATTACAAAGAAACAGAATTTCTAGGCCTGCACATTTGAAGTTCAGATCCTTAACCTAAAGGAGCTAATATGCAGTCTGCTTGTAAGGCTGTGCCCGAGCATGCAAGAGCCCGCCTCATGTCTGACAGCTCCTCAGCAGCAACCAAGCGGCAATTACCAGGGTGCCTATAAACAGCACAACAAAATAAAGACTTGCCAAGTGGTCTTGAATGTCATTGTTTTCTCAAATTTGTGGCAAGTTCAAAAAAGAAAAAGAATTCATTGTCAAGGAACTGGGTCCCTGCTCAAAGTGTTGAAGATCATCTTTTTGCTGCTAGGGATGTGGGCCTCTGGGATATCCTGCAGGCCTCTTGCCTGAGGGACCAAACTGCCCTGATGGCAGACGTTGTTCCTGGGATCCTGGGACTTACAGCTCTCGTGAAATGCTCTGACTCAGCTGGGCATGTTCTGCATAGGGACGCAGACACACAGCCCTGCAGAGAAGTCTGGAGCATTTCTAGATAAACATGGTATGTTTGTATGGACAATATTTAGCAATTATTAAAAATGTTGGGGCCAACATTGTTGTGCAGTTGGTTAAGCCCCTGCTTGTGACACTGACATCCCCTAGTAGAGCATGGATTAGAATCCCAGCTGCTGCGCCTCTGATCCAGCTCCCTGCTAATGCACCTGGAAAGCAGTGGAGGATGGCCCAGGTACTTGGGCCCCTGCCATCTGGATGGAATTCCAGGTTCCTGGCTTCAGGCTGGCCCAGCCCCAGCTGTTATGGCCATTTGGGAATTGAACCAGCACTCTTTCAAATAAATAAAATAGATCTTTAAAAACATACATTTCCAACAATAATCATACTGATTCAATATACAGATTTACTAGTGACATCTTACCTGTAACAACCTTAGTCGTTGTTCATTGTTGAATCTTTCCACTGCAGCCCAGAACCACCGAATTACAATATGATTGTCATGATATCCTATCAAACCAATCATGAAAGTCCATATTACTTTGATTATTTTATCCTAAGCCACCAAGATTAGCAACAAAAGACACAACCCCCAGACATAGACCATCACCTTGAATTCTTTAAACGTTGTCAGTGAATTAAGACTAAGGATAATCAAAAGATAAACAAAAACAAAACTAAATGAAACCAACATTTAGTGGTGACTAAATGAAACTAATGGCAAGAATGACAATAAATGAGTTGTTTGAACCAAATCATTTCTGAAAATTCTAATTGCTGTTACTGGAAATGCTTAACTCTTTTGATCAGCCACATAAAAAGTAATTTTCAAGTACCACTGCGCCTAACACAGCACTAAGCTTGAAGATACAGTGGCAAAGAAAATGGACCCTCACAGGGTTTCTAATGGAGGACAGACATATTTATCAAATAATTTATACAAATAAATATATAATTGGAAGCACATATATTTTAAAATCAAATTACTTTTGTGATGATTTACAAATAAAAAGCAAAATATCCTTTAATTCTTTCAACTAAAAATATCATAGTCATCAACTAAATTTTAAACTTTAGTAGAATTTAATAAAGTATTGGAAGTATCATTTATAGGATAGAGGAAGGCAGTGCTTGTGAATTCCAAACCTTTCAGTGAAAAAAAATTTAGAGAGAAGGCTGACAAGGATGATGGTACAATTAGTGATTCAAACCAATTAATAGACCTATTTTATGTACACAAGAACTGCTTTAATTCTGAGTCAATAGTTCCAAAAGAAGGTGAGTAGAAATCATTTTATTTCAGTAGCTGTAGAATCCGGGAGGACTCTCTCTCCCCATTTACCATTTCACTAGAGTTGCATGATCTTCTTTTAGAAAAGAGAGAGACCCTAGTGAAGGGTAAACAAAACTGGATTGAACCTAGTCACACCAGGGTCTGTGTGGAGCCTTTGGTAAAGAACAGTTCTCTGGCACTGAGCAAACAGTTTTCTCATCTGTACAATAAATGCAGTGGCTCTTTGTAGCTTTGAAGTTTTCTGGCCTCATGAATCAGTCCTTCTTCTGCTCCTCCTTTGCTTTCCTGGTGCCAAGCCTTTTGGAGGAGGAGAAGTGCATGTGTCTCCTCATATTCTCCACACACAGCTGTGGTATGGACAAATGGCAAGTGGCCGCACAGCCACCTCCTCCGTCAGTGCCAGCTAGTTGAGTTAGCAAATATGGAAGCTGAGTATCTCATCCCTTCTCTGCCCTCTCCCAGGGATTTCATTTGAAAAGATTTATAATAACCATAGAGATAGATCCTTGACTAGTCAGATACAGTAAATACAATTTATACTGTGTAAATATAAAAATAGCCACTTTGATGAACTTCATTGCTATTAGAATATCCTGGAGAACAAGCTAACAGTCATTATTGTAAAAATCTGAGCTATGTTGCATGCCAGAGAAAGTATATTTTAGTTAGTAAAAATAGTCTGGTGAACACAATTGTAACCAGCACCATATATGGGTTATACATAGGGCCAATTGGAAAGACTTAGTTCAGCCACTGAACTTCAGAAATAGCAGCAATGGAAACTGCAATTTAATACAGTCTTTCAAAGAAAATGGGCAAACAAGTTAGCCATGGCAAAAGGACAGGAAAGAAGAGTTAAGCTCAGGCAAAACCAAAAGCAATTTACCAAATGTTAACACATTTTTTTTTCTCAAAACATGTCTTTCCCCCAATATCTGTCTCAAGTACATATAATTGGAAAATGGGTCTGCTAATTTATTAATTTGGTGACTATATTTTTTTACTACTGCTCAGCTTGCTGAATTTTAAGAACCCTGTGTTACTCCATTCAAGTGTTTCAACTGTGAATGACAACTAGTAAGTAGAACTGCAGAAAAACTGTGCTGATTAGGAAGCTCAAAGGGCGTGCCTCTTTGAGTTTTAAAATGAAAATGAAATAGGTGGAGTTTGACCAGCTGGCTATTAGCTCCCCAGTGCGTCACTAACAACACCATAAAGTAATTAATTACTGTTCCTCTGGTCACATTTCCAACCATTAAGAGTTATGACATCCTCAGATGGTGTGTAAACAGTCCTTCCCCCATCTGACAGATGAGGTAACTAGGAAAAGAAGGGAATGTACCTTGCCCAAAGTCTCAAGGGAGACTGCATCAGTCCTATGATTAGAGGGCAAGTGCTTTTGCCTCTCCTATGTTCAGATCAGCACGCAGAACCATACCTTCCTTTAATTTGAAACTTAAAATCCAATGTCTATAAACCAAATTTCACCTCCTCTATATTCCGTGTTGTTTCTCCAGTCACTTAGGTCTATTTCAGCTGTGCCTGCGATGACCAATTCTAGTTCTCTCGCATCAAAAACAGACACCAGTCTGGCATCCACCACCTGTGGAATAATAAGAATATGGGGGTATGGCTTAAGCACCTGGGAAAAATTAAGTCTCATCAGAAAAAGGAGGTTTCAGAGATTTTCAGGAATAATATGGATGTTCCTGTATAGGCACTTGGGAATTTTTTTTAGGATAAAGTTGATGAGACTTCACTCAACAGGATTTTGGTTTCATAATTAATACAGTTTCTTTTTCTCTTTTGAAAAGGAGTTAGAAAAAGTCACATGGAATACATGTAATAGCTCATTCTGACTCTCAGATAAGATTTCATATATCAAACACGTGGTTTGATTAAACATATCTAAGCATAAGTAAGGAGTATGACTTAAATATTATTAGTGGCCATAAACCATCACATGTTCTTTGAATTTGGGTCATAGTATGTTATTTCAGTGACTCATGTCACAAGTACATTAAGCTTTTTTGTGCTCTTGAAACATAAAAGAAAAAATATTGGATTTTTAAAATTAAAAGAAAATAGGTAAATGCAACAGAAGACAAAATGGAATTGTTCCACGCCGTACAGGGAGCCTCAGCACCACTTATATGAGACTGATAGCTATCTTTACCTCATAGAAGCCACGCACTAGGCTCTCTGTTTGTTGTACAACACCCCTTTCAATCCTCCACTTCACCATCCTCTCGATGTATTCCTTCTTGTTCTTCTCTGTCACTGGGATATTGGCACCCCCTGGCTTTAATTCTCGTTCAGTAATCTGAAATTAAAAAAAATAATAAACAAAACAAAAAAACAGGAGGACTGACCAAGGAGGAATGCTCTTGATGTCATAAGAACACTGATACCAAAGAGCTGACCTGTCCCTATCCTGCCCCTACATTGCATAAGCAGGCAGGGAGGCTCTACACAGACAGCACATGTAGGCACAGCACTCACTTAAGACTGGGCATTGGGCTGATGTTTGAGAAACTCAGTGGTTAAAAAATATGCTTTTCAAGTTCTAAATCCTAACAAAGTAAATCTTTTAAGATGTAAATGAATTCATTTCAGACACTAGCCCATTATTAGAAGTAAACATTATTAGAATGTTTAAAAAAGCCATTTCACAAATTCCTCTAAGGTTAAGAATCCAGAATGTCCAAATAGCCAATATCTAAGTAAAGGTTTACTTTAATGAAGCATAGTCATTCTCAAGTGAATGTTAATTGAAAATTTCATTTTTAAAACACATGAAATACAGCAATTCAGCCAAATATTAATGCCTAAATAAGACTATTACTTATGAGATACTATATGGTGGGGGGTATCTTTCATCTGCTGGTTCACTCCTCAAATACTTGCAACAGTGGGGACTCGACCAAAGCAAGGAGCCAGGAACTCCATCCAGGTCTCCCATGTGGAGGCAGGAACTCAAGTTCTTATGCTATCAGCTGCTGCCTCCATGGCTCACTAGGAGAAAGCTGGATCAGAAGTGGAGCAGCTGGGACTCAATCCCATGCACCCCATATGGGATGTGAGCATCTCAAGCACTGTCTTAATCCACAGCATCATAAAGTTCGTCGGGAAAGAAGTCTTTTAACCTACCCTTCTGTCAACATCAAAACAACAACAACAACAACAATAACAACAACAACAACATATTCTCTGTTTTTAAGGCTCCTCCAAAGTATGGTTTTTATTGCTTCAGCCTTAATACAATCAATTTTGATACTTAAATCTGAAACAGAGTTAACTACAAGTAGTGATTAAATAACTTAATATTCAACTCTGGGATAGCACAAACATTTAAACACTGTATTCTATCCAAGCATATGTTCAAATATTTGTGGATATTTTAGTTGACAGTAAAAGAGAGTTTGCTTATAACATACAAAGAGTTACTATAATTGGTAAAAGAGAACATCTTCATCTGCAATTAGCATTAGAATAATCTTTGTAACCAAGATTACCATCACATTGTATGATCTTGGGTTTAAATCAGCCAAGAGTTACAAATGTATAAGCATCTTTACTGACCAATAACCTTCAATTACCATACTCAGACAGCAGGTGTGCACATGTACAGACCTGCCCAAAAACTTCTTCATTCACAGTGAACGTGAGGTCCAGGATGTCATGGATGTCATTGTCTTTCATCCACTGCAGGCTCTGATGGAACTCTTCATCAAGGTATTCCAGATCACTCAGGTCACACAGACTAGGATAACAAATGGATAGAGACAAATGCATGAGGCTACGAGGAAAGAATCAAAGAATTAAAGGCAAGAACACCACCAAACAAATAGGCAGTGATTCCTGGAAAGTTCTTAGTCAAGTTCAGTAACCAAACCTGTGAAATAATTTTGAAATTTGGTGTATGTTAGAAAACCCTGGACATATAAAAATGCCTTAGGACTTACTCTGTCCTCTGTTTCACAGACATAGATCTGGAGGAACAGAATGTCAGTCAACACACATCCACAGTTAACACCAGATCAGGAACCGGATAGAACTCGAGTTGACAACTTGGGTCCAATATTTCTTTTGGCTGCATTACATTACCATAAAATTTTGTTTTCCTCATTTGAAATTATTTCTATATTCCTGCAATATTATACTTTTTTATTTAAAAAATTAAATTTTGTGATGTATATTCCTATATATCCCCTTTTCCTCCATGGTTCTTTTTCTTGTGCTTCTGAAAACAGTAAGCCACAGAATTTCTTTACAATTATAATGGCTTTCCATATTTCTACATTTTGCTTCATTGCATAGAGAGGATCTGCATGAGGTAGAGCAAGTATCATGGTCCTGTTGTAAGGTAGCAGTAATTAATTTGCTACAGTAGTTTTGAAATATTCTTCCCTCTCAGCCCAATTTGAAAGACATTTTGTGCGAGTCAGTATAAATGTTTATCGACATCTTAATGGCTATGTGATGAGCAGTCACTGTGCCCAGGAGCTACTGGTCTAGTTGGGGAAATGGACACACAAACAGATAGTTGTTACGGTAGTCTTTTTTATCTGTAGTTTCACTTTCCATGGTTTCAGCTACCTGTGTTCAACCATGGTCTGAAGATTTTTACTAGAAAATTCCAGGAATAAACAATTCACAAGTTTTAAATAACTTTTATTATAGTAAGTTGTTTTAATTTTGTCTATTTATTACTTATTGTTGTTAATCTCTCACTGGGTCTAATATGTTAAACTTTACCATAGGTATGTACAGGAGAAAATGTAGACTATACATAGTTCAGTACCACCTGCCATTTCAGGAATCCACTGGGAGTCTTGAAATGTATTTCCCTGAGGATAAGGAGGACTACTGTATAAACTGGTGTGTGATAATATGCAGTAGGTAATTTTTAAAATTATGTAATATTAAAAGCATATGCTACACATCAATTTTTAAAAGATTAGGTAGGTTCAGGTAGCTGTCAGAGCAAATGAGGGAGATCTGCTTTGATTTGGAGATTCAGGAAAAGCTTTCTAGAGCAGATAACATCTACATTAAAATTTTCAAGATGTTTAGAAGTTAGAGAGTCCAAAGCGAACAAATGAAGGAGAAGGGGGAAAGCAGGAGCAAGTAACATGAACTGCACACAAAGGCATGGAGTGTCAAGATACTCCCAGCTTAAGAGAACTTACCACAAGGCAGAATTTCCAGAGCACAAGGCTAGAAAGTCAGCTGGGAGCAGGTCATGAGTATCACGCTAAGGAATTGGTGATTCAGAACTATTACAAGGCCTGGAGAAGGCATGACAGATCTGATGTGAGGTGTGAGTCCTCTGGAGACTCAGTGTAGAGGTTTGTGGAGCACTGAGACGGAGCTGGTGGTTATCATTAGAAGGCGGAGAATAGTTAACAGACCACTATGGTAATTTGGCCAAAATTACACAAGGGGTCTAGTTAGGGGAGACTATCAATGGTGGAGAGAAGAAGAAGAAAATGAGGTTTGGGAGGCACAGGTGCAGAAATTAATGGTTTTATTGGGGGTTAAGTATAAAGAAAGATATCTAAAATTGGGGTGGCAAATGAAATCAGGTTGAAAACTGACGTTGCTTAATTGCCAGTCTTGACTGTCTGTAAGTTGAAACTATTTCTGAGGCAACAATGAGTTCTGTGGGAAAAAGTCCCCTGTGTGATTTTCGAACTAGATCATGGGAATGAGATCAGAAGGGAAGAGTAGAGCATGTACCGAGTGTTGGCCATCCCTGTTTAAGGACAACTTCCAATTTCTGAGTAGAGTGGAGAGTGTGGGTCCCACTTTATTGCAACTTGAGCACAGGAGAGAAGGTACATATTTTTAGGTTATGGTGAATTCAAGGTTTAGTTTTAACCATGTTGATTCTGAGGTCCCTGTGAGATATACAAGTGAAGGTATTCAGTGAACTGCTGACCATGTGAGCCTACATCCCAAGAGAGAGAGCAGGACTGAGGGACAGATCTGGGAGTCAGCAGATGAAGCAGGAGAAGAATTTCTCCCACGACAGCGTATCAAGTGGGCAAAGCAGGAGCCACAAATGGACACTTCTGGAACACCCAGGTTTCAGGGCAAGGCGAGGAAAGGCCCTACAAGGAGAGCTGGGAGGGCACAGTGGTCTGGAGGCCAGGGGGAGGAAAGTCCCAAGAAAGAAAAGGGCAGGGGCAGTGCTCAGTGGTATCAGAAGCAGCAGAGTGGTCTGATACCACGTCCACAAAGTATTCTTTACACGCCTCCATGTGTTACAGGTATAAAGAAGCCAGGCTACTGTGCATTGAGGGTATGAAGTTGAGGCAAGTGAAAGCACTTGGCAAAGACCACTCATTCAGAAAGCATCAAAGAGATCAGAGACAAGTCAATGAAATGGGAAAATACAAAGTGGACCAGAGAGAGGGAGAGAACGGTGGCCATTACCCAGAGCTGTATGTGCTAAGACACTGAAAGAAAGGAAGGCAAATGTCTTCCTCTTGACCCCAGGAAGGACCCATAGCAACATTCTGTTTGCTTTCATGTTAAGTCTAAACTTGCATTTTACAGGAAGCAAGTCCATGACCTCAGTGAGGGAATCAGCTGGATAGAATCACGCAGTAATTCAGGGCTCTCCCATTACAAGTTTGAGCTACTACCTTACAGACAGTTTCCTTCTCCTGTTCAGCCTTGTAAATGACTAGGTACTGATTACAGGCCAGACGTGGTTTGCTCTACATTTACAATCATTGCAATCTTTCATTATGATAACAATGAAGAAAAAGTTCTGTGAATGTCAAATTTTCAGCTCCCACCATAAATTACTATTTTGCATATAGAGTCCTCAGGAAAAGTATGACACTGTCCATTCTTAACAAATAAAAAATTAAACACAAACAAAACCAAGAATGAAAATTTGAACAGAGTAGATAGCTGAAAGTTTGCATAAAGCAAAATATAAAATGCATCTCATAATGAATGGGGGCTGTGAGTCACTAAGACTTACCCACAACTATTCTATTAATAATCAGCATTAAGACCACAAGAATTTCAGTGCTGTGTCTGAAGCATAATTGTTTTGAAGAAACATGTGTTGCAACAAACGAGAATAAATTATTGGGTAGAGAGCAAAACTAAGATGTTAGGGCTAGATAGGAATAAAGGGTCAAACGCAGGAAAAACAGTAACCATGAAATTGTATTAATTTCTAAAATCTAAAGCATTATGAAGTTATTGACAACAGGTTTGAGATAGTGAGCCAATGAACAAAGACTCTGACAGAAGATTCTTTCATATAAATACTACATTTTTGTATGCAAATTATATAAGCAAGAAAACTACTCTTACATTCTGAGAAGAGCCTTATAAAAGGGCCGTGTGAAGAAGGCATCCAACAAATACTGGTGTATTAGTGCAAGACCAAGGATCCTACCACTGAACCGGAACCTGCAGAGGAAACACATGAGACAGCTTACACGTCATGGGACAGTTTCTAAATGGTTCTATTTGCTTTCTACAATGCCTTCCAACTCTAACCACCTAAGTTTGTTCACGATTAACTTCCTACTAGGTCCATGAGAGTTTGTGTGCACTATAGGCTGTACCTGAATTAGGCCCATAATTCATATCTACTTGTTAAAGAAATCTGTGTCACTCTGATAAACACTGTTCCACATTTACCTTGTGCCAATAATGTCTACTAAGTAACACCCCACATTGCCAACTGAATCTCCCACTAGCATTTCAATGAAATTTCCCCAAACCTCTTCCAAGAGATGTTGACACAATGAGATCAGAAGAGATAAGGAAAATGTTTCCTGCTAGTTTGTGTGCGTGAATATTAGCTGAACTGCTCAAACACAAACCCAGCAGCAATTCTCTCATGAGGAAGAGCGCAGTCTCAGACTAGGAAAGCTCCATCCCTGTTCTCTCTGAAACTCCGCTCCTGAGGATAACTGTCACCATTCAAGAATTATGCATATGGACATTTGCAGGGATTTTCCTCGTGGGACATTCTGTTCCCTGTACTTTCGAGACTCACTTCTATTCTGAATCACTCTGGAAACTTTATGAAATATATCTGTTTTGACTGATTTCGCTGCCTGAGATGTACACTTATTTTCTTTTTCAAAGGTATTCAAGTTTCTAACTCTTTGAAAGCCTAATGCCTTCCAAAAGAGTAAATCTGTATGGAGACTCATATTCTCCGTTTGTAATTTTAGTATTAGGCAGCTGTTTTAAGATTAATGTCCAGCAGCTTTGCTTCTCTTTATTTCCACTTAATTCTGGCACAACTGTATTAGCCACAGTTAGGACTTCAAATCATAGCTAAACAGAAGTTAATTTGAAAAATAAGGCCTAAAAGTCAATGCCTTTCAAACATCAATATTAAGCTCATGTCTCAAAGAACTTTTTTGCGTGAGTCCTACTCATGTTACTTTGTTTATATCAGTGGATTTGACCAGGCACAAGGTAATAGGAGTTATGCAAATATTTAAAGTCTATAAATGCATGGATTTAAAAAGATGTAAGGATGTTTGGAAGGGGCACAATTTGAGATTTTCAGAATAAATAATCTCCAGCTGGGAACCTTAGCTAAATCAGGTTTCCTTGATGATTTTGTATGAGCAATTGGTTAAAACTTTAAATGGCTTCTACAGAGAATGGCCAGTGCTCGTGACTTCCCACTCCTGCTGTTCCTCCAGGTCACCCCACCTCCCCAGACCTCACTGCTACACTGGCAGCCAGACTCACGCCCTCCTGCTGCCCCGCCCAGTGACAGCCACTTCCCCACTGGGCAGCTGCAGAATCTTCCTGACTGCTGGGTGAGGCCCTCCCCCTTTTCACTCCAATCTGGGCTTGGCAACCATAGACAGCCACAGGTGAGGAGAGGGATTTAGGGCTCTCACTGGAAACCTATCATCATCTGTAACTTTCTTCCAGTGGGGAAAATCTTTTGAATTCTGCCCAGCTTACCTAAGAGTGCCTTTATGGAACATAATCTATTCCTAGCTTGCAGCCTGTTTGTATATTTAAATTTGATATCAAAAACAAAATTGAAATGAGGTATTTAACTGAAGACATGATTTTGTTCAAGGAAAAACACCTTAAAAGAAATCTGGCTTCCTATGGGGGGTGCAGTATCATAGATAATCAACTAAAGAAACTGTTGCAGAAAGACTTACCATTCATGGTGATTGTCTACAAAAGCAGACATGGGACTTATTTGTACTGTGTATGTGTCATTTGCTGAATATTCAAATAAGCCATAATATGGGTTAAAGAGTTCTCTGGATACCAGGAAGAAAAATTCCCTGGAAGGTCCACTGTAATCTAGCCTGTAAAAATGACAAACAGAATAATCAGTTATTTTTTTTCCTAGATATTGGGTACATTTTCTCCAGACATCAACTTTTTATACAATGTTAACTACAAGTCTAATTGTCCACATATCAAGGCTGCCCAAAACAAACTGAAAGACTATGGTTCCTGATTCAATCAAGTCTTGAACCAGAAGGGTGATGCATAGCCCAAACTAAGCTCCACATCAGAGAATACATATAACAGGCAAATGTCCTATTGATTTGTATGTGTATGCATAAAAGGCAGATCTTTTCAATGTCTGGAGTGAAGTTCTGGGGGATGGGAATACAATGGGAAAGCTTTATTAAACAGAGAAAAACCAGAGGAAATCAGCTGTGTACTCATGAGACATGACGTCCTCATGGATGTCTGAAACAGTTTTAAGTGGGGGAAGAGACTTCTGTGAGCTGGAGAGAGACCATTACAGACTCAAGACTCCTGAGGGAAATCATATGTAAAAAAAAATGGAATGATAGGATGCAAGTAAAAATTCTAAATACCAAGGAAAATTAGAAACAAGAAAGTTGAGGTGTCTAAAGCTTCCCAAGGAAGGAATTTGGAGAACAGGCTGAGATCGCAGCACCCGGACATCAGGGTAAATTTGACTGCATTTAACAAAGACATCAGGGTCAAAGTAAAACATAAGGAAAGATTGAAGTACGTTTAAGAATGACAAATGGCTGAAAGCAAAAAATGCAATAAACAGGAGTTCATTATAAGGCAATGTGATACGCTGAAATTAAACATACGAAGTACATCCATGATAAGCATGTGCACATCTAATGCAGTGTACACATCAGGGGAGGAACTCTGAGGGAAAATGAAGGCAACTGATTAAAAGATATTACTGTAAGACTTTTTTCCTTTACTCTTTCTTTCTCTTTTTTTTTGAATTTCTTCTCTGGGCATTGCTGTACTTTTTTTTTTTTTTTTTAAATGAAACAACCCAGTGATGGGACTGTGATAGAGAAAATGATCCAGTGACAGGTAGAAGTAGCAATTGGGATGCTAGCAAGAAAAATACATAAAAATGGCTTTTATATGTCTTACTTGAGAGTTTAATAGACTTTACATAAAACAATGTTCTACTACTCACATACTAATTTCCTCATTTTTGCCATGTGTGAAAATACTATTATTTACTTAATATCTTTCATTAAACCAGCTTTAAGTTGATTTGCATTTTCAGTATGGCTTTGGCTTGCATAGCACTTGTGACACATTGATGTGCTATTTTTCTAATATACATTAAAAGAAATACATAAATGTTAAAATAAAAACAATCAATTTTCATAGTGGCTGAAATCTTTTCACACATTTCAGTGGTATCAACACACCCAGACAGCACTGACAGGAAGCCTACGAGTGCAGAAAAATGCAAACACAGCAGACTCTTGGGAGGAAAGGGGCCTTAAGGTGGCAGACGTCATGGACGCTCTGTGGGGAGGCTGGACGCAGCATGCCAAACAGGTGGCCACAGAATGGGTGACACCATCCTCAGGTTACCCTGAAGACTCTCAAGGCGGAACTCAGGCTGCCTGCAGGTGCAGGAGTGCACAGCCCAGCCCTGGTCATGCCAGGACGCAGGCAGCCTCACTGAGAACAGGCAGCCCACAGGAGTGCTCTTCACATTCTCAGAGTCTTGCTGTCTCTGAGGGCTGACTACATTCTGAGTGCTAATCTACATCCTCAGCACAGGAAACTTCTCCCGAAGTCACTGTGCACAGGGAATCCAAGTTGAGCAGGTAGCATATCCCTGGCCTCTGCCCGCTCCCATCCCTTTGCTCATTCCTGTATGTTCATTGCCCTCCGCCCTCTTTCCAGGCAGGATGAGGGGTGGGAAGTCCCTTGCTTCCTCCGTGGCATCTAAGACTGATCACAACACTTGAACTGTGCTCATGTCAGCAGGGCTTAGAAACTCCTGGCCATGCTTCCCCACTAACGGGGCTAAAATTACCCTGCCTCTCAGGGCAGCCACTTTACTTTGTTGACTGCTAATGAGCGAGTCATCAGCTGAAGCTAAACTTTTCCCTCACACTGCTTTAACCAGGGACTCCCCACTCCTGTCTGCATGTAGCTTTGCTTTTTAAGACCAACATACTAGACTTATACTTCTCCCCTCTAACTTTGGGGGATTTAGTCCCCTGTGTCTTTCCAGAAACAGAGAATCCTGGTGCTCACCAGTATCTTAGAAGACATTTGTCCATCCCCTTGTTTTACAGAGAAGACAAAAGTTGTAGGAAATCGCTTGCTGACATCAAACCAGTGGAAGAACCAGGCCTTGTGGCCTTGAGGCAGGTGTCCTGATCCCAAGTTTAATGCCAGTTACTCCTTTCAACTTTCCTTCCCTTCAGAAAGTCTTAATGTTCATTATGACTGAAAAAAGCATTGCTAATACAGCAGAGTTTAGGCAAACTATGGCTTGTGGGCCAGACACGCCCCATCGTCTGGTTTTATAAATAAAGTGTTATTGGAACACAGCTGTGCCCCTTTATGCTCTCTCTAGAGCTGCTTTCTTGCTACAATGGCTGAGTTGAGTAGGTGCCACAGGACACAGACGGCTGGCAAAGACTAACGTATTTGCTATCTGGACCCGTACAGAAACAGTCTGCCAGCCCTTGTTAAACAAGACAGGACATGGAGGGAAATGTTACCTGATTAAAACACTAGCTTACTACAAACCCTCTTCCGTACAGAAGATTCCTTTGAGGAAACATAAAATGGCTATGCTCTCCCAGGGTGTACAGCACTTCAGGGAGGGGTCGCAACTACTCCTAAGTGTGAGACGAGGTGAGCAGCTGTCTGCCTTGGGCACTGCTCGACTCCAGCTTCCAGGCACAAGTGAGGCCTGTGACAGACAAGGGGTCACAGACAGCTGGAGCATGAGGCAAATAAATACTTCCGGAGTCAGTTTTTTTTACAGAGCGACAACTGGTATAAGTCATGTGGGTTACTTGCTTAAAATTAAACTGTGGCATTCAGTTAAAACGTGCATTTCCCCTGCGCTATAACTGAGGGTTTTACTACTACTGCACTCAGTAGAGTGATCGGTCCATGTGTCTGCTCCGCTACACACACATTAGGCTGTACTTGCTCTGAAGGCAGGCACTATATCTTACTCATTTTGGTATTCTAAGTCCTTTGCCTACCTGATAACAGACAGGGTTCCATATATATTAGTCAGTTGATGAGTGGAATTCTCCAGTGTGCTCTAAAGAAAATCAGCATCGTCTACACTGTTACTTGTCATTTAGCAGAAGGAATAAACTTGCGCAAGTTACCATGAGGTGGTATACTGATTCAATGACATGGAAAGGTTATGCTAGACTTAAAAGACAACTTGAAAATGGTGCCAGAATTTCACAAGTGAATTATGCTTAGAACATTTTGTGTGTGTAGTAGCTTTAATTACGGTAAAGTTTAATAAAGCCACAAAAACAGACCTCATTGATCAGTCCCTTCTCTATGAGGATAAGACATATTCCCTTAGGCATTAAACTGAAAAACAAAACTTTTTTTTTTTCCTTAGAACAAAGCTAATATTCTCTCAAGGAGGAAATGTGTCTTCAGCTGGTCAGGTTTTATCTGCTGTTCTTAACTCTGGAGCCACAGACGGAGTCACTGTAAAACTAAGACACCCTTTAAATGTTGCTCTGTTTACAATCTGAAACTCAGAACTGCATATCTGAGAGCAAACTGTAGATTACTATATATATATGTGTGTGTGTGTGTATATGTCTAGTTAATTCAATAAAACATGTCACAGCAGGGTACATGCCGCATGTACTTCCTGTAATGTCTTAGCAACCCCCTTCCATATAAATAGTTAATATGACTCATATCACAGGGATGATTTGTTACATTCCTGTTTTGCCAGTTAGGTTGGTTCCACAGCTAAAGACTTGGCACAGAAATACAGAAACCGGACAACGGGTGTGTAGCCACACAACAGCTGCATCAGAGGACATTTCTGAATAAGCACAGATGTCTTTTGGGTGGCCATGTAGTTTGGAAATCCAAGTGCTGATGAGGCATTTCAAACACTGTCACATTGCTGGGCTGGCTCACCACGCACATTGTCAGTGTCACTCAAGCTCTGTTAAAATCATGGATTGCACTCTGCCATTCTTTATTTCCAACTAAGAATTAAGGACAGCGAATTATTCCAATGGAAGTAAACTGCAAAATGAAAGAAGATGATGCCCTAGGAAGTCCACCATCGTCATTTCCTGCAAGCTAGCTCAGGCACACATGGCCCATGGACATCCTGATCCTCCCTCAGACATTTATAGCAGCAAGGCCTTGGTTCTTGAGTCACTTAGGAAGGCCTGGCAGCTGAGCAGGGGATTTTGATATAATCAACAAACCTTATACCTGGTGATGCCAAGGCAAAGCCTAGATAGAGACGCACCCTTATTTTAGTGTATTCTTATGATGTTTCTCTTTGGAAGAAGACAAGCAGCACATAAAGTTTAACTTGAAGCTTCACAGATGTCTGAGGAACAAATGGTTAATTAAGCTCAGGACCCCAAACAACTTCTAGTGCAGATCTGACTAGTTAGACATGAGAAGAAGACACAGAGGAGAACTGTTTCAGATCTCATCCTTTCTTCTGCCTGTCTCAGGAGAGAGATTACACAGGAGGTGCAGCAGAAAGAAAGAACAGAAAGTTTTTTTTTTAGTTTTTGACAGGCAGAATGGACAGTGAAGAGAGAGACAGAGAGAAAGGTCTTCCTTTGCCGTTGGTTCACCCTTCAATGGCTGCCACAGCCGGCGCGCTGCGACCGGCACACTGTGCTGATCCGAAGGCAGGAGCCAGGTACTTATCCTGGTCTCCCATGGGGTGCAGGGCCCAAGCACTTGGGCCATCCTCCAGTGCACTCCCGGGTGACAGCAGAGAGCTGGCCTGGAAGAGGGGCAACCGGGACAGAATCCGGTGCCCCGACCGGGACTAGAACCTGGTGTGCCAGCGCCA